AACAATAATAGACGTGAAAATTTTCGAACTAGAGAAAGACGCCCACAAAATTAACTATGTGAAAAATTATTATAATTACACAAAATTCTCTCCCCGACCTCAATTACACAAAACAAAAATAGTCTCTCAAGACAAATACCGTAATAGCACTCAGTAAACTAGAACTAGCGTTATATTTCATAATTGCTTTTGAATTTTTGTTTTTTAAGTGATATATATATATATTTATTTATTTATTTATTTATTTATTTTTATTTTTTTACCGGTACAAAGAAACGAAACGAGGAGAATAATGGAAAACAATCAGAAGCAAGTAAACTGGAAATTTATGAAGGACCCTCCTCAAGCCAAATGCGGTTTAAATACCGAACAATAGTCATTTATGCCAATTTATGAGCCACTACAATGCCTTCACGGTGTGTGAATGTGAAACGAACCGAATCCAACAAAGAATAACGTTAACAAATCTCAGTAATGAGGCATCCCACCTCAGACAAATCTTCAACATCGTGAATAAGAAATGGAAACGTCGCAGAGAGTCCGACTCGAGGAGAATGGACCGAAAAGAGATATATTAGAATAGAAGAGATAGAGAAATAAAAGTATATTGAGATAGAAAAGTCCAGAGGGAGAGAATAAATTTGTCAGGAGAGATACATTAGAAGAAAAAAATATCAACATTACAAAAACTGGGATTTGGAAAATAAAAAAATTTACTTTTAGAAACCACTTTTTTAATCCTTGACATTTACTAAAAATTTCGAAATTATTATCAACCGCCTCGAAATATATATAATTTGAAATTTGTAATTGCTTTTTATTTATCTTACCTTAGAATTAGGAAAGGCCTAACTTTTTTCCTGAAATGTTTAAAATTTTCTATCTTGATTATCACAGATTAAAGATAATTATATAAGAAGAATGTGACTTTTGGCCTTGATCAAATCATTGTACTTTTTTTTTTCCTAATGAATGCAGAATGTAATTTATCAACTTAAAAAGGTATGAATGGAAATATTAATTAACTTTATGGACAAACAAATCTAACAAAAATTAATTACCATGGTCCTTCCTAACAATATGAAACAGAACCTTCATCTCTAGATTCTCGGAGTCAATTTTAACTTTAAACTTAGTTTTACATTATTAACTTTACTATCAAAATAAGTGGTTAAATTAATAAAATTGATAATTCAAAATATTTTACTACTAGATCAAGCACCAAAATTTCTAATTTATCCAAGTAGGTGTACATTAAGTTTTTATCTAAAAAGAATGGGTAATTTATTTGAATAAAAACCCATTACAAATCAACTTATTCAACACAATATGGTAAGACTTAGAACACCCATTTACCATAAAGATGTATCCTTCAGTTTCATGACCCATTGTGGGTTAAACGCTAAAATCCTTGTTGAAACCAAGGCTTTTGGTTACAAAATTTTCACTCATAGATTACAAAAATCTTACTCCTTCGCCATCTGCGACCTCTCCGATGAGGTAAGCTCTGTCTGATCCACGGTCGTCGTTGAGTATTCTTTGCGACGCCTCTTGGTTCACCACAAGAACCATGCCAATACCCATGTTGAATGTTCGTCTCATTTCCACATCTTCGATTTTTCCCGCCTGATATGTTACCAAGATAACAGAGAATAAACAAAAAGAATGAACGTTCTAGCTAATATCACTAATATCCCTCACACTTCTTTGATATATTCGACAATATCAAAATGTCTACCATTAGTTCCTAGAGATATACAAATAACATAGAAAAAATTTCTCATTTACCTCTTGAATCCAATTAAAAACAGTTGGGATCTCCCATGAATTCTTGTAAATAACAGCTCCAAGGCCTTTGGGAAAAACTCGGGGTATATTATCGGTAAAACCACCGCCGGTGATGTGGGCTATCCCCTTAACCCCTCCCTTACTGATAATGTCAAGTACCTGTGGTTATAAAATAGAAAAGAGCTGAAAAACTTTGATGCCAATCAAACCACAATTGTGAAGAAAACAATGAATAAAGATTGACCTGTTTGACATATATCACAGTAGGGGCCATTAAGGCCTCACCTAATGTAACATCTCCACCAGGAAGTTTGTCTTTCAAGGAAAGGCCGCTTCGCTCGATGACCCTATAAAGATATGACAGCAGTTGTCAGAGACTAGTGTCGTGTTTATCCCCGTTAAGAGAGTAAAGCGTAATCGCGATCAACCTTCTTACAAGAGAGAATCCATTTGAATGGACTCCACTTGAAGGCAAGCCAATGAGAAGATCTCCAGCCACAATGTTTTTCCCATCAATAACAGAATCTTTTTTTACAATGCCCACCGCAAAACCGCTGAGATCATATTCACCATCTGCGTAGAAGCCTGGCATCTCTGCGGTCTAAAAATGTACAAAAAGCATTTGGAATTCAAACCACGGTTTCATGGAATGACAAATGGGAAAACAAATACCTTCTGGTTTAGATTTCAACAACTTGGAAAACTTGCTAGGAAAATAACAAGATAATGAAAAAACAAGAGAAATCGTCCCAATAACTTCAACTATAACAGTTTCTTTTTAAAATATGAACTGAAAACAAGTTCTGTGTCGATCACAAGCACTATCAACAAGTTTCAATTAAAAAATGAAGCAAATTTAAACCAAATCGTATGTTTGTTTTTCAGCCACTTTATTTTATTTTTCCAGCCATAAACCATAGCACGTGTCCAGCAAAACCAACAGTTATTAGTGTGCGAACTTCACTGTCAAGTAGGTCAAGTAGAAACTTCAGAACCATATGTGATAGACATCAACCTAAATACTAAAAACTACTTCCAACCCAGAATTTGCAGCAAGATGGGAAGCACCATATAACAATTCGAAACCAAATAATAATTATAAAGAATCATTTGTACCTCGCCGCCCAGAAGAGCACAGTCAGATTGTTGGCAACCGGTCACGATACCTTTTATTACCTAAACACGAAGAAAACATAAGCTATATAGAACATGTGGAGGCATATGAACAAATGAAAACTCAACCAAGCAACTTATTTCAACTTTCATCTATACCTTTTCGGCAAGATCAACGTCAAGGTGGCTTGTAGCAAAGTAATCAAGAAAGAACAGAGGCTTTGCGCCAGAAGTAACAATGTCATTAACACTCATAGCAACCTAGGATAAAACTTATTTATAAGATCACTATTAATCAATACAATGCATAATTTACCTACATATAATATAACACAGCCTACCAAATCAATTCCAATAGTGTCATGAATCCCAGTTTCAAAAGCAAGTTTTAGTTTAGTTCCAACACCATCTGTGCCAGCTACGAGATATGAATCACCTGTTCATTTAAACTTATTCAGCATAGAAAGGAAGAAAAAGAATGTAAAGTATATTAACTATAAAACAATAGCATCCATCAGACCCTCAAGTTCCCATGATAAAAGAAAACTAACATTCTATTTTTTTTAAAACAAAACAATCTGTATTATATTTATATGAATATGAAT